GCCCAAAATTAAAGTGATCTAATAAGGAATTAAGTAATTGGGCTTTAAGCATCTAATTAAAGTGTGGGCCGGACTATATGTGTAGAGACCGGATCCATGAGGGTTTGTATTTGACGATGGGCCGAATACATATGAAAACTATATATAGAGTTATCCCCAATTCATATGCAATTCTTATTTTTTGTGTCATCTCATCAACACAAGAATTAATAGAGAGAGCATACTGAATAGGAAGATCCAAAAACCCAAAATCAATAATTATAATCAAGAATAAGATTTGGAGCAATTAAATTGAAGAACAAGAAATCAAGATTTAAAGACCAAATTCAAGATTCATTATTCAAGATACAAATCAATATATCAATATATGTTCCATGTTAATTAATTTTCTTGATGATTTGACGTGGAGATTGTCACAATTCATAATAATTTATAAAGTTTCAAGTTTATTAAATTCTACAGCGATTTCTCCTCCTGTCGTCTTCCAAGGAAAACCTCTGGCATAAAATTCCTTGATTAAGTTTCTTTTACCGTAGTTTTTATAACTTCCTTCCAGTGAAGTTCATTTCACTTAACTTGCTTAGCTGCGTATTAATCATTTTGTTTTGCTATGCCTTAAAGCCCATACAATGGTAATTAGTCTATTGAAGTTTTTTGGATCTTACCCCATCTTCCCTTTCACTGACAATTTGCAGCTAATGGAGTTGTGTATGGTTATTAGCTAAATTGACTGCTTAGTATCTGATGTTTGGTGGTGTTTAAACAGAGAGGCATCCTTTCAGCTGTAGATTTCAAAGGCAAGCACGTAATCGTCGGGGTAAGTTTAGTTTTTGTTAGATTATCCTTTTTGGTCATGTTCAGATTCTTGCTCGAGCTGTACATCAAGTTTAGTTCTTATTGGATTATATTTTTGGGTTGTTTTTCTTTGCAGGTTTTCTACTTCATCGGGTTTGGACTATTCTGTCTTGAATCTGTGCTCAACGTCTAGGTTATTCAGGTCTAACTTGGGTGTAACTTATCTTTCGCTTAATTTTCATGGTCCTCTTTCTTCACTCGATTTATCTTCGAAATTATACTGCCAGCCAAGCAAGAGACCATGTATTTTCAAGGCAGTGGCAAATCTACAGGCAGAGATGAAGCAGGGCTGATCGAGGAGCTATGACTAAGCTTGTTCCTCACAAACTCGATGAGTAACTTTCGGTGAATACAGGTTACTATTCTGCAGGCCATTAAGAGGTGCAGGTAGAAAATTGGAGTAGCACTTGTAAAGCCTGGTCTATATCGTGTGTCCATTGATTATTGATTATATAGCAGTGTTCTAAAATGTCTAATGCGTTGCGATGCGTCGAGGCCAAAAATCATTCTCTCCACTCTCTCCAGACTCCAGCAGACCCAGCCCCTTCGTCCCGTCGCCCCAATCCCCGTTCAATCGCCTCTCTCCAGCTACCGCCTCAATTCCTCTTCTCCATCCCCAAAAAATCTGAAATTAAATTCCTTTTACTTTGCCAACGACCAACGTGGTAGACACAAGTTACAGCTTACAATAGGTAGTTGCCCTTTCCCATTTCATCATTCCTTTTATCCAACATCTTTAAGAAGAAATTAAAGAGTATACACGGCTGTGTGCAGGTTTATAGAGTGCAGAATACCTACCTGTAACCTGTCTGCTGCCTCTCCTCGAAGCATCCAATCACGTCGCCTGCGCTGGCTGCGCACTGAGGTTGAGCCTTTCAGCCTGTGACGAGGTAAGTTCTTGTTTTCCTCTCAATATGAAAGTATGATAGTGATTTCTAATTAAGGATGTTCTGTGTGTGACTATGTGACTGAATGTCTGAATCTGTGATTTAGGGATTTTGGAAATTGGTAGAATGAGAGTGATTTCTAATTAGGGATTTAGGGATTTTGGAAATTGATNAATTGATAGTGATTTCTAATTAGGGATTTTGATGAAATTGAGTAGGCAATTGTGATTGATTTCTTATCTAACGTGATTGATTTCTTTATTTGTATCAATTATGGACAAATACTTTAAATGAAAATCTATGAATGTTGATGTTGAAAGGAATATTTGAGATAAAAGTAATGAAAATAATGTTGATGATGGAGAAGTTGGGAATGTCGGGGGAGTTGGGGATATTGATGTTGCTAATCTTATCGATGATCCTGGATTGAGAGTTCCAATTCAAAATTATGAGGTTAATGTTCGAGACGTGATTCGAAGAGCCTATATACAAAGGGGTCCTTGCCAGC